CATGTCTAGTAATGCCCCAAAGAGCTGACTATTTCCTTTTCCCCAGTGCACAGTCATCCTGGTAAAAGGCCACAGGTCCCTCTGGGGAAGGGTGGGAGAAAGGTTCATTGTATAAATTTTTGGCAGCATACTGGGTCCTTCCTCAAGGGGACCCAGCTTCTCCTTTATTCAAGGGGTTCTGGCTCTTTAAATTGGCTCAAGTCTGGGAATTAATTGAGGGGCCATAACACTCAGTTGCTGTGATTCAAGATGGACTTTCTAGAACTCTCCCGCTTATATAGACCAAGTAAGAATTCAGTAGGCTTTCCATCTGTTTCATTTCTAGGAACACCATGATCAACTAGCCAATGTCATTGGTCTCTGTGAATGAGACTATTCTGATTGCTGCTTTGAGTCTGTTGTCCTTCGTGATGACTGTGGCCCAAGTCACTTTCAGTGATGGCCTCTTGGCCCTACCTCCTTGGGATCCAATCTCCCTCCTTGGATTTACGTTTCCCAGTTCACTGGCAGCAGCTCCCTCTGACCTACAGAGGAGAACAATCACAGAGCTCTTTAAGTGTGCTGGGGCTCCCTTATAAGCTCACACCTCAGTCATGAAAGGGAAAGATATGTCCTCTGGACTCTCCCAGGGTGGATGAGTAGGTCTTAAATGATAAGTCCATACCACATTCCAATTTCCCTTAGTCTTTGGATCTTTCCTCTTTCTCTGAGTCTCAGGGCTATTCTCTGATGCAGAGACCTCATGGGTCTGTCAAGGTGAACAGATACAGATGTAAAACTTAACAGTGACCTGGTGAGCTGAGTGGGGGAGTATTTGGAGGTATTTTTATTCAGAGAGGTGTCCCAGCCCATGGAACCCCAGGTGAGGGCGAGAATATTCCACATGGAGTCTCATATTCTCCCAGGGAGCTGAGGGGAGTGATCCAGGTGAGGAAATACCCAGGGATATGGGCTCTCTGGTCAGGCGAGACATGGTCAGTCTGGAGGGTGTCCTCTCTTAGGGTGTCTGTGTTCCTTGGGAGTGTCCTATGCCTTGGCATGAGCATGAGGTACTTGGTGCTGAGGCTTTTGATTTGAAGGGAACTCACACCCAGGTGAGAGAGGAGCCAGTGCAGGGAGGTAAGTGATAGAGGACATGGGTGTCCTTGGAGCCCTTATCCCCAGACAGAGTTAGGGGAAGTTCTGGGTGTCTGGGGTTGCTTTGGCCAAAGACTTTTTGAAAAGTCATCCTCTTTAGCTGAGGGCAGGAAAATGTCAGAATGGTGGGTGAGGGATGAGGAGGGGAAGGGAGACTCATCTGTAGATGAGGGAAGCCCTCTGTCTCCCCCTAAGCAAAGGAGGAACATGATCTGAAGGGCTCCATTATCCCCACTGATTTCTTGATGCAGAAGATATCCAGGGGTTCCAGTTCAGAGTCAGCTCACCCTGGGCCCCAGTCACGATGGCCATGATGGCCCCATCAGGAATAAAGTGCTAAGGCTCCTGGGGTGGGCCCATCTGTGGGGGAAGAACAGGGAGAATGAAATATACAGTGTTTTCACTAATAGGAGACTCACCTCTACTTCATTCAGGCAGGATGCATGACTCCTCAACATAGCTCTCCCTGGGAGGTACACCTGGAATGTGATGTCATTTCTCCTGGGCTCAGGGTCATGTTTCTACCAAAGGCACGTCCATCGTTTTGTCTAGGAATGGTGGTCACTCTCCTCCCCAAATCACCCTTGACTCCTTGACTCCATGCACAAGGGTACTTGAGGACATGTGGTTCGTGTGTGTGTGTGTGTGTGTGTGTGTGTGTGTGTGTGTGTGAGAGAGAGAGAGAGAGAGAGAGAGAGAGAGAGAGAGAGAGAAAGTGAGAGAGGGAAAGTGAGAGAGAGAGACAGAGAGAGAGAGAGAGAGAACCACATTTTGTGCCTGTCCTGATGTTGCCCTGTGGTGGACATGAGGGATTCTGTACTCTCTGTCAGGCTTAGGACCAGGCATCTGACTAGGGTTCAGATCACTGCTCTGGACGTTGAGCCCTGGGCAGAGATGGGCTCTCACCCCTCTCCTGCAGGGACAATCAGTACAGGACTCCAGCCACCCTGGGTCTATTGTGCAGCACAGTAGAACTCTGGTAGGACTGGATGGCCCACATTCCCCTGGCCCCACACTTAAAATGATTAAAATGGCAAAGTTTAGGTTATATGTATTTTATCTCAAAACAAGCAAAAAACTTAGGAAACAAACCTACACATTACCTTATATAAAACTGGCACCAATCCACGACTGGGAATGCATGTGGGTGTCCATTTCTTCATCTGCTGTGCATGCTCATAGTGATTTTGTGAGAGCAGAAGCAGGTGTCCCCCCGTTTATCTACCCTTCTTTCCCTTATTCATTCTCTGAACACGATAGCCATTTTCCTGCGATGGGGCCATTGAGAAAGTAGGCTCGCCCTGTCTCTCTCTTGGGAAATTGGGGATCTGTAGGACATAGGATGTGAACGTAGGTAACTGCACCTGACTGTGTTATCACAGCACAAAAGAACAGAGTCAGAGGTGAGAATTCAGAGGGGGTTTATTGTGTCCACCTGTAGAGGTTGGGGTGACCTTATGGCAAGATGGCCAATGAGATTGGCTATAGAGAAGGGGAAGGAGCAGATTCATAAAGAAAGGGAGAGAGGGCACCCCAGGCAGGGACTGTTTGAGCGAATACATGGAGGCAGGAGCAAGAATTATGAGGGGCAGTATGTGTGCAGATGGGATTACAAGGAGCAGGCCACAGAGGCGGGGTGAGACAAGATGGAGGCTTTTCTGAAGAGTTGGTGTGTTTTCTGGGTCTTTCTATCAGAGCCTGGACTGGAGGGCTGAAGACACTGGGAGAGGGGGCTGAGAGAAGACACACCCACGATGTGTCTCCTTCTTTGCTCATATTTGTGTGGACATCAGCTGGCCCCGTTTTCTGTTCCTGTGTCCCTACTTGAGTTTGCAAAGGGAAAAAGGCTGGGAACTGTCCATGGTCCCATGGTCCCCAGGGCCATGTGAGGACAGCAAAGCGCTCTCTTGGCTGGGTGGGTAGGGTCTCTTGTGAATCTCATCTTTTCCTGTTGATATTACCCCCAACTGTATCCCACCACCACAACTCGCTCCCAGGAGATAGGGATGGGGGGGGGGCTGGGATAATTTAGACATAATATTTTCCCTGTGTGCCCAAGAAAAGAATAGGCCTGGAGTTTCAGGTGAATTCCTGCTAAGAGAAAATACCCATGAGCAGAAGAAAAAGAACAAATGCAAGGAAGACCCCTCTTTATTCACAGACCTGTTAAAGATTTAGAAGGTTTTCTCAACTGGGGATGGCACTCAGAGCATTTGGAAATGTGGGTTGGGGACAGTATTTTGGTTCCATAAGTGACTTGACAGGCCTTCTGGAAATTAGAGTGTGGGGACAAGAGGGAATAATGCGGTAAGAGGCTCAGGACTGTCTGACATAACAAGGACTTCCTTGACCAAATGTCAGTAGCTCCAGGAGAACTGAATCAGTTGACTTTATTTCTCTTCTCTTCTCTTCTCTTCTCTTCTCTTCTCTTCTCTTCTTTTCTTTTCTTTTCTTTTCTCTTTCTTTCTTTTGCATTAAGATGTGTGTTTTTATTTTAATTAAAATATTTTTAATTCTACTATAGTTAACATACAGTGTTATATTAGTTTCAGGTGTACAATATAGTGATTTATTAATTCTTTACATTACTCAGGGCTCATCATGATAAGTGTACTCTTGATCCCCTTCACCTATTTCATCCATCCCCCCACTCCTCCTTGTGGCAACCATCAGTTTGTTTTCTCTAGCTGAGAGTCTGTCTCTTGATTTATGTCTCTGTCTTTTTTCCTTTTCTCATTTGCTTTGTTTCTTAAATCCTACACATGAGTGAAATCATATACTATTTGTCTTTCTGTGATTTATTTAGCTTAACATTATACTTTCTAGCTCCATCCATGTCATTGCAAATGGAAAGATTTCATTCTTTTTTATGGCTGAGTACTGTTCCATTGTAAATATATATGTATGCATACATACCGCATCTTCTTTATCCATTCATCTACTCGTGGGCACTTGGGCTGCTTCCATAATTAGGCTACTGTAGATAATGCTGATATAAACACAGGGGCTCATGTATCCCTTTGAATTAGTGTTTTTGTATTTTGGGGGGAATACCCAGTTGTCCAGTGACTGGATCCTATTGTAGTTCTATTTTTAACTTTTTGAGGAACGTCCATACTGTTTTCCATGGTGGCTGCACCAGTTTGCATTCCCACCAGCAGGGCATGAGGGTTCCTTTTTTTCCACATCCTCACCAACACCTGTTGTTTCTTGTTGATTTTATTTTTCTTGGTAGCCAATATCCTCCACTGACATAGTATGTATTTATTTACTGGTTTATCTTATATATCCACATATTTATTTTTTATGTTTTATTTATTTTTAAGAGACAGAGAGAGAGAGACCAGGGGAGGGACAGAGAGAGGGGGAGACACAGAATCCAAAGAAAGGCTCCAGGCTCTGAGCTAGCTGTCGGCACAGAACCTGACGCAGGGCTAGAACTTATGAACCGTGAGGTCATGACCTAAACCGAAGTCGGACGCTTAACTGACTGAACCACCCAGGCGCCCCTCCACATATCTACAAATGGAGCCTCATGAGAGAATTGGCTTTGATTTGTTTACAGCTGTGTTTTCTGACTCTCTAAGTAGGGAAACCCATGAGATTTGTGTTTGAACAGTGTTTAAAGATGCTTTGAATGAAAAGAATAGAATGTGCAAAGTATACAAAGGACCTCTCACCTGGTTTCTGGTCTCCTTCATTATGCCTGAGATATTATTTTGTATTTATTTCACTGGCATTGTGCTACATTTAAGGTCTGTGTCTGATTTTCTTCATTTGCCATTATCTTCTTTTAGATGTAGCCTTAAAAAATATTTATGCATAGTTCACTGTTGCCCAACTGTATTAATTTTTCCTCCTAGAGATATTTGACATCTCTGGAAGTATTTTGGTTGTTGGATCTGTGGATGAACTATTGGTAACCACTGGATAGTGGCCAGGGTCCAGCAATTAACAGGACAATCCCCTACAACAAAGAATTATCTGGTCCAAAATGTGAGTAGTTCCAAAGTTGAAAATCCTTCTGCAGACAAAAATTTTACCATGAGTTTTGACAGAAAGAATATGACAATCTCTATGATAGTAAAGTAGCCTCTTAATGTTTTATAGAAGAACAAATTCACATATACAAATCAGGTGAATGGGGGAGTGGGGGAGGAAGCATATCTTCCTGGTAAGTCTGCTCCTGGGGGAGAAGTCAGGAAGGAGTGGTTTGGCATCAGGAGGACAGGGTTTTGACAAGAGTAGTGTCCTTCCAGGGTGGAGCGTATGACGCTTCACATCCCAAAGGATCCTGCCTGGCCTCCTCCTCATCCCCACGGAGGCTTTGGGTCTCCAGCTTTTGGAAGAGAGGGTTGAACAGGAGCGCCCATGGCAACCACTATTGCCTTGATAGCCGAGCCAGAAATCTGGGGGTGCTCGATTCACAGAGACTGAGGCAGCTGAGATTTGATGGGGTTGGGTTGACAGACACAGGCCACTTCTTATGAGTGTGATGCCCTTGGGGTTGGCAAAGGTGGGGGCTGAGGTGTTGAGAGGGGCAGGGAAGGCAGGGCTAGGAGGCCTGCAGCTGTCAGTGGACTGGGATTACAGGGCCCCCAGTCTGCTTTGGCAGGGCCCCAGAGTGGATTCAATATGGGGGGAGCAGAGTATCTGCAGGAGGGTGGGGAGCTGGGATCTCATCACTCCAAACAAAATCCGTTGCTTGGTGGGCTCCACAGGAGAAAGACAGGGGTCTGGAAGCTTGGCAGCCCTGTCAGTGGGAGCTGGTGGAGGAAGCCTGGTAGGGTCAGGACCTGTGTCAATGAGATACACATCCCAGCAGAGTAGAAGCAGCTGGGACTTGAGTTTCCTAAGGTGCCTAGAGGGCTCCAGCTCTTGGGTGGTAGATGGTGGGGGGCTGGGACGGGGGGCAGCAGGTGGGTGTCCTCAGCAGAAAATGGGCCCTGCTGAAGTAAGGCAAGTAAGGACTGATTCCTGGAGCTGGAGTCCCTCCTACACATAAAGATTTGGGTCTTGGGCTGATGCTATACCTGCCACAGGCAGTGGGCACAGGGACAGCTGGCTATTAGGCTCTCTCTCACCCTCCCAGATGGAAGTAGATGCTTCTGTGGACTTCCAGCCTGGGTACAAGGAAGGGACCATGTCAGTTCTCATCAGGGCTTTAATCTTGTCCTGTCTCCCCCTTCTGCCCTCAGTGCCCTGGCTCTCTCAGAAGAGCCTTATCAACCCCCCGGCTCCCTTTCTCAGAGCCTGGCCTCTACACTGACTCTCTGGGTGGTCCTCCGATGCTGGGAGCCTTGCAGGGCCAGGGGTAGTGGAAGGGCCCCCCTATGCGCTGAGGGGCAATCTTGAGGTCCAACAGCCCCACACCGCTTTCCAGTGCCCAGCAGACCAAAGCTTGTACCTCATCTATCTCCCCCAAGTGTTGGAGAGGTGGGCCGGGTACTGGGTCCCAGTTCTCTTGTGGGAAAGCACCCCCAAACCTTTCCTACCACCACATGTAGGTAGTGGCTGGTCCCAGTCCAGCAGTATCTTGGTGGGTGGTGGTGGAATCTGCGTAGGATCGTGCTCATCATGGGTGCACTGGACTCCGTGCGGCCCTGAGTGTGGGGTGTTGTGGGTTTGGGGCACACAGGCAGCAGCCCTGGAGGAGCAGGTGTTGGGGAGTGCCTTCAAGCAAGGATTGGGCTTCCAGAAGTTCCCTCATGTTCCAGGATGCAGCCAGGGTGAGGTGTGCAGGGTTTGGTGACAACTGACATCGGGGATGTGGGATGGTGCTCAGGTTGCTCCAGGCCGGTGCCCGTGCACACGCAGACGTCCTGGTGCCTGCAGCAGCCGGTTGAGCACCCCGCACTGTCTTGAGAACCAGCGAAGCTCAGGCCTCAGCTCTTCTCATGGTTGGTCGCAGGTGATTGGCTCTGGGAGAGGGGTCAGGGGCTTCCTGTCTTCTTTTTAAGCTTTTAGGGAAGAAAGGATAATTTCTACTAGGTTATGAAAAATATAGATAGCGAGCTACCTGGTAAAAGTGAGGATAATCCCCTGGAACCTTCTCTTTAGGACGAATAACTTAGTTTTATCAGTAACTGTGACAAATGTTTTATTCTTCTAGTTTGTTATTAATTCACATTTTGCAGTTTGGCTCTTAAGGAAATGGTGAAAACCAACCAAGATTCAGGTTTTAGCATGGCAATGTTGATTTCATGTGGACGCTCCTAGGATTTTAAGCTTTCATGAATTCACATAGAATCTTCCCTGTGGACACTCATGTACTGTCTCCTTGTGCATTTCTTTTTTTTTTTTTAATGCTTATTTATTTTTGAGACAGAGGGAGACAGAGCGTGAGTGGGGGTGGGGGGGACAGAGAGAGAGACACACACAGAATCTGAAACAGGCTCCAGGCTCTGAGCTGTCAGCACAGAGCCTGATGCAGGGCTTGAACCCATGAACGGTGAGATCATTACCTGAGCCCAAGTCGGACGCTTAACCGACTGAGCCACCCAGGTGCCCCATTCTTGTGCATTTCTACTAGTCATACTTTTGGAGGGAGTCACATTTTCCCCTAAGGGTTGGAAGGCATCTGACTACTCGGGGTGGGGGTGGGGGGAGAGGGAGGGGAAGGTGTCCAAATGCTGCTGGTAATGATAATGGCACTCATGATGGAGGTCTGTTCAAGGTGGGTGAAAGCAAATATTTCTGAGAACTTTTCCCTCAAAATCAGAAGCAGAAGGCACCTCCTGGGCCTGTCACAATGTTGGGATGGATGAAGGATGAAAATGGAGGTCGGTAATTTAAGTATCACATCCAAAAGTGGACAACAGGTTCTGTGTAGAGTCTAGATATGGACGGGGAATAGTGAGGACACTTAAAGGCCCCCTCCCCTTAGTACCAGAGCATCAGAGGCTCCTGTGGTTCAGGAAGGGGCCCAAGGCTAGAGGGGAGGGTGCTGTCAGCCCACGGGTGCTGGGAACCAGACCCTAACACTGGCCAGTCCCTGACTAAGTCTGTTTTTTGGGGTTTAGATTTATCCTTAAGGAATGATGCTGAGGTGTATGATTCTGAGGATAAGGAGATGCTCTTATGATATAATTTTCTTCTCAATAAGATAATTTCTTCCAAATGATAGTATGTCTTTGCATTCATGGCTAAGATGCCTCTCAAGACAGTGACGACATCAGAGGACATGTCTAGTGACATTACGTACAGATTTGTATGTTTTTGCATCCCAATGTCTACAGAATTTCCCTCAGCTAACCTGGCGGTATAAACCAGTGGTGTCCTTCTGATTTGTGGTCACACCCTTGGCAAAACCAGTCTTCGAGCTACTGAGCCACAGGCAGCCAAGATAATCACCGATAAATATGCCATCTGCTGACAAATCAACTTTTGATTAATTAAAAGCAGTTTTTCATGACATTAATTATGCCTGTTTATTTTCTCTCTTATTTGCACACTCCAAGAGGCCCAGGGTTTCATTTGGTTAGTTAATACTAGAGGTTAGTGTAGGTCACTTGTTCTCAAGGAGGAGGGATCTTACCAGCACCTCTCCCCTTCCTCTAGGACACGCAGCATTGTCTCCAGAAAATCTCTTTACACCAGGGGTGGAGAGTTCTCCTGGCATCTGGTGGGTGGAGGCTGGCATGGTGCTAATTATCCTATGGTATATCAGATGGCCCCCAACAGGAGATACTAGGCCACGATCAGGGATGAGGAGACAGAGCCCTTCTGTGTGCCCATCACCCAGCCTTCCCAGGAGGCTTCCCCTCACTCTGCTCTTCCCCGTCTCTCCAGACTCTGCCCCTCTAGCCAGCCCCCCTCCTCCTGCAGCTTCACTGCCAGTCCTTGTGAACCTGAACATGCCTTTGGTTCAAGGTCAGCCCTAATCCCTCAACTCGTCTGGCTCCTTTTTGTTATTTTTTTATTGTAATTCCAATGCAGTTAACATACACTGTTGTATTAGTTTCAGGTGTACAATACAGTGATTCAGCAGTTCCATATATCACTCAGTGCTCATCATGATAAGTGTACTCTCGATCCCCTCCACCTGTTTCATCCATCCCCCCACCCACCTCGCCTCTGGTAACCATCAGTCTGTTCTCTATAGTTAGGAATCTGGGCTTTTTTGGTTTGCCTCTTTTTTCCCCTCTTTGCTTGTTTGTTTCGTTTCTTAAATTCCACATATGAATGAAATCATATGGTTATTTGTCTTTCTCTGACTGGCTTATTTGGCTTAGCACACTATTCTCTATATCCGTCCATGTTGTTGCAAATGGCATGATTTCATTCCTTTCTGTGACTGATTAGTATTTCACTGTATACATTGACCACATTTTCTTTATCCATTCATTTGCTGATAGACATTTGGGATACTTCCACAATTTGGCTATCGTAAATAATGCTGCAATAAACATGGGAGTACATACATTCCTTCAAGTTCGCGTTTTTGTATTCTTTGGGTAAATACCCAGTAGTGGAATTACTGGATCACATTGCAGTTCTATTTTTAATTTTTTGAGGAACCTCCATGTTGTTTTCTACAGTGGCTGCACCAGTCTGCATTCCTACCAACTGTGCATGAAGGTTCCTTTTTCTCCACATCCTCGCCAACACTTGTGTTGTTGACTTCAGCCATTCTGACAGGTGTGAGGGGATATCACATTGTGGTTTTTATCTGAATTTCCCTGATGGTCAGTGATGTTGAACATCTTTTCATGTGCCTGTTGGCCATCTGTATGTCGTCTTTGGAGAAATGTGTGTTCGTGTCTGTTTGCGCTTCTTCTAGCAGGGACCGTCCACTAGAGGGCACCCACACTCTTCCTTGAGCCTGTGGGGAGCTTTTCCACTTGAGACAAATACAAGTGTATTTCCTGCCAGAACCCCCAGCTTTCAAATAACTCTTTAGATTTGCCCAGGGTGAAGCTCCTGGGACAGATGTCTGGGTCCCGGGGAGGAATCTTACATTGGAGGATTGTGGGGGGGTATGGACTGGCGACCCA